GAGGAGTCCGCCGGCCGCTTCCCTTTCCCGCGCGGCGGGGCACCCTTCCACTTGCCTTTCCCGAGCTCAGAGCTTCGCCTCCGCTTGTCGAGTTCGCGATACCACTCAGCGTGCCAGCCGACTTGCATGCCTTTCTCACAGCAAAGTTTGCGCGAGTCGTGATTGACCTCGCTGAGGTCATGTACGAAACCTCGGCAGAATTCAGGGTTGCGACGCTGGGGGGCTCTGGCGGAGTGAGGTCCAGACTCCCGGTCGCAGATGGCATTCCACCCGATGGTCAGCATGGGACCACATTCTTTCTTGAGGCGGTTGATCGCCGCTCCCCAGCCCCCCCTGCAATGTCCCGGTGGCTCCAGGAAGGTCACCTGGTCACCTGGTGCCTCGGCTTGCTGTAGAGCCCGACAATGTCGTTCGACTGAGGCGCGGGCAGCGTGGAAGGGGGCGGGAGACGCGGCGCCGGCCCCCGTCTCCAGGGCGGGGTGGTCTCCGCTGAGCCTTGTCCGCGCCACCTTTGTGGTGCGCCTGGGCTGCGCTGCTCGCAGGTCCTGGGGGTTTTGCGCGCCGGCCCCTCCTCTGCGGCCAGCGAGGCGTTAGACTTGGGCCGAGCTGCCGGCGGGGCCACAGCACGAAGGGGGCTGGAGGAGGGGCGCGCGCAGACCGCCAGCTGCGGCTGAGAGGAGTAGCCGGGGCTGCGCCTCTTCCCAGAACGCCCGCCGGCGGGACTAACTGGGGGAGCCCGGCCCCTCCACTCCAGTCGCGGGAACTTTTGCGAGGGGGCTCGCGAGAGGCGGAGCAGGGGCTGGAGCTCCTCCATGCCCTGCCCCGCCGAGCCTCGGGCGGGGGGGGGGCATCAGATGACTCAGTGCGCCCATCCTTGTCACTGGCGCGGACTGGCACAGCTCCGCGCTCCGAGGAGGTGGGGGACTGACCGGGGGCGCGCCGCTCCGCGTCTGGCCTCAGCGGCGCTGGGGGGGGGGCGGCAGTCTGGATTGCTCCGCATGCGGGGAGCTGTCTCTGGGGCGCTGGGCCGGCGACTCCCCCGCGGGCACTTAATCTGAAGGGCCAGCATCAGCTGCTCGCGGGGGGGCGCCGGGGAGGGGCTTCCACGTGGGTGAAACCCTTTCCTGCAGCAGGTGCACGGAAGTCCCGCGCGCGCTGGCGCTGCAGCGACGTGATCCCCCTTGACTCCAAGTAGCCGAGCAGGACTTCCCGGCGGTACCATGCCGGGTCTCGTTCCTTTCCGGGCGCTCTGGGGTCGCGCTTGCTGCGGCATGCATCCCATTCGTCGGGCGCCATGGGGCCTTGCCTTAGGTGGAGCTCCCTATGCGCCACGAAACGCGTGAGGGATGTGTCGAACTGGTTGACATGCGAAGGGCAGCGACAAGGGTGGGAGGATGGGCAGCGGGATGATGGTGATGATGATGATGATGATGAGGAGGAGGAGGAGGAGGAGGAGAAGGAGGAGGTGGGACGCGGGGGCGCTGTCTCTTCAAACCGAGAACCCAACACCAAATAATCGTTGAACACGCCACATTCGCCTGGTAAAGAACCCAACCCATTCTCAAAACGAGGCAACTACGAACAGGACCGCTCCAAACGCAAGAATACGTTGAGGGGCCTGTCGTACCCATGAACGCGCTGCCAAGAACGTCCAACAACGCTTAAAGCTCTGCATTCACGCACGCACTCTCACGACGCCATGCGGACGCACCCGGTGGGGCCCTCGGGGGAGCTCCCTGGGAGGCAGGAAGCGCGTGAGGCCTGTGCCGAAATGGGCGCGGGGACGCCATGTGCGCGCACCCGCTGGGGCCACAGATGAAGCTCCCTGGGAGGCAGAAAACGCGAGAAGCGTGTGCCGAAATGGTCGCGGGGACGCCACGCGAACGCACCCCCTGGGGCCATGGGTGGAGCACCCTGGGGGGGGGGGCCGGAACGGTGTGAGGGGCGTGCCGAAATGCGCGCGGTGGCGCCATGCGAACGCACCCACGGGCGCCATTGGTGGAGCTCCCTGGATGGCAGTCAACGTGTGAGGGGTGTGCCGATATGGGCGCGGGGACGCCATGCGGACGCACCAGCTGGGACCATGGGTGGAGCTCCCTGGGGGGCTCGAAACGTATGAGAGGTGTGCCGATATGAGCGCGTGGACGCCATGCGGACGCACCCCCTGGGGCCCTCGGTGGAGCTCCCCGTGGGGCAGGCAGCTTGTGAGGGGCGTGCCGAAATGGGTGCGGGGACGCCATGCGGAGGCCCCCCATGGGTGGAGGGAGCTCCCTGTGGGTCAGACAACGCGCGAGGGGTTCGCCGAAATGAGCGCGGGGGCGCCACGCGGACGCGCCGCGCCCGCTGGTGTCCTCGGTGGAGCCCCCTGGGGAGGCCGGAAACGTGCGAGGGGGAAGCAGGTGCCCAAGCCGCATCCACAGCAGGCTTACAGTTGGCAGCGACTCTAGTGGGCCTGGCGTGGCGCTAAGCGGGCGTGCCAGAATGAGATGCGTGGCTCTACGCGGGGTGGGGCCGTAGGTGGAGCCGTCTGTTGTGAAACGAACGTGCGAGGTGTGGGCCGCCAAAGTCAGGGTGACGCTGTGCGGGTGCCTTCCCTTGGGGCGTAGATGAAGCTCCCTGTGGGCCACGAAACGTGTGAGAGGTGTGCCAAACATGGCAGTGTGACGCTATGCGGGCGCCCTCCCTGGGGCCGCAGGTGATACTCTCTGTCAAGCACGATCCGCGTGAGAGGCGTGTGCTGGCTTGGGCGTGGCGACGCGGTGCGGGCGCCCTGACTGCGGCCGTAGATGGATCTCCATACGGGGCACGAAACTTGTGAAGGGTGTTCCGAAGTGGGCGGGGTGACACCATGCGGGGGGCCATCCCTGGGGCCATATGTGGAGTCCGTCCCCTGGTGGGGCACAGTACGCGAGAGGGGTGTGCCGAAATGAGCGCGGGGTGGCGATGTGCGGGTGCCCCTCACTGTGGGGGCAGGAAGCCTTCGAGCCTTCGAGGGGTGTGTCGGAATGGGCATGCGGACGCAGAGCAGAGGCAAGGATAGAAGGAAGAGGAGAAGGAGAAGGAGAAGGAGAAGGAGAAGGAGAAGGAGAAGGAGGAGGAGGAGAACAAGGAGGAGAAAGCATAGGAGGAAGAGGAGGAGGGGGGACGTGGAAGGGCGCCGGGACGCGGCGCTGTGAATTCACAACGAGGACCCAACACCGCGGCAGGGCTGGGAGAGGAACAAGAGGCGCGTATGCAGAAGCCGACGTGGAGCAGCCGCTCGTTGCCATGCGAACGTGTCAAGTTGCCTCCACATGGTATGCAGCTGGCGCTGGGAAAGCCGATTGACGGTCGCGTCCTACGGCGCCAGAGGGCAGCGGCTGCAAGAGACTACACATAGCGGCGGCGGCTCCGCGGCGCGGGCACCGCAGCGGCGGCGGAGTCGAAGTCCTCGCCAGGCATTCCACGTCTCTAATTACCATTCCACGTCTCATTACACGTTTCAACTTCCTCAACACATCCCGCGATCATCACTGCTCAAGCCTTCGTCTCCTCATCATCCTTCTTCTCATGCACATCATTATCCTGATCCTCCTTTTCCCCCTCCTCCTTCTTATCGGCATCTTCATCCTCCGCCGCCTCCACCTCCACGCGACCTCTGCCCCACTCGCCTCCCACACCTCGCACATCCTGGCTCCCCAACCATCATCATCATCATCATCATCATCATCATCATCATCATCATCATCATCATCATCATCATCATGATCAGCATAATCATAATCATAATCATCACCATCATCATCATCATCATCATCATCATCATCATCATCATCATCATCATCATCATCCTCTGCGTCCACCTGCCCCGACAATATCACATCCTCTTTTCTAGTACTCCCTCCTCCCCATTTCCAGTCCCCCCCTCGCACCTTCCTTGTCACCTTCCGCCCCGTCGTTGTCCTCCTCGTCCTCCTCCTCCTCCTCCTCCTCCTCCTCCTCTTCCTCCTCCTCATCATCATCATCATCATCATCAGCCATCAGCATCACCGTTATCATCATCACCACCATCACCATCATCATCAGTATCATCATCTCGTGCCACACTCAAGGCCACCCCCAACTGCTACACCCATACGTGTGGCGGCCGTCCCGGGCGATTCCACCGACGATTGCAGCAGGCGAGCGACGAGCGTGCAAGCACGAGGAAGAGAGACGGACATAGGAAGAGGCACCAAACCACCGACTCACACACACACACACACACACACACACACACACACACACACCACCACCACCGACGAGGAGAAGAAAAGAGGGACGAGAGGGCGGGCAGAAAAAACACTTGAGTCGACGCGGTAGCGGGGCAAACGCGACCGCCCTCGCTGATGTGGGTATGATTCGTATACACGCAGCCAGATCCTGCGACACCCCAGGCCACCCCAACATTCCTTTGTGGCGGGCGTCCTGGACGATGCCACCGACGAGTGCAGCAGGCGAGCGACGAACATGCAAGCACGAGGGAGAGAGAGAGAGAGGGAAAGAGGAAGAGACACCAAACCATCAACACATACCACCGAGGGGGAGACCCGAGCCCGAGAGGACAAATGGCGGAGAAAAGCGACGCCGAGAAACAGATAAACAAATTATGAGCATCCACAGGACATGGGTCGGGCAAGGGAAACCAATCGTTTAAAACATGGACAGCCCGTCTGCTTAGCAATCAGTTCATAGAAATGGTAGCAGGATTTAACAAGATAGGGTTCGGCGGGTCGGTTCCAGAGAACCCCCGAGACAGGGGTCGTGACCGGTGAGAACGATGTGGGGTTTCCCAGAAAAGGGAGCAAAAAACCTTTCCTATACCTGCAGCGGGCTACTGGGAGGGCCTCAGGATGATGGCGGGCCCACATAGCCACCTTGGTGAACTTCCTCAATCGGGCTCCGAAGGCGCACATGTCGAGATTGACGAGCGAAGCGTCGGAGGCCTTTCAGCAGGCCTGCGAGCCGGGGGTCGACCAGAATCAGGACAAGCGGGGGTTCTCGAGATAGACGGGGACGCCCGTGGAGCGGCGCAGCGACACGAGGCCCAAGGCGAAGCGGAGCTTCGCGCTCCCGATGTCGACGGCCGCCTGGGGCCGTGGCCCCAGGTTGGGGAGCCCCCAGGTGCGGTCCCGAGAACGGATTGTGCACCGCGACGTCCCTGGCGACCCATGGCTGGCCTGGCTCCAGGAGCTGCAGGGGGGCGCGATCCAGACGGCGCTGCACACCCCTCCGCGGACCAAGCCTGCGATGGTCTGGCGGACGGCCAGCAAATCCAGACGAAACCGATGTTTAGATGCGAAATCCATTGGCAAGGCCGCAAGTCCCCGCCGTTGAATGGAGGCAGAGAGGCGGCCAGATCCAGCGAACAGCCCCAGCACCACCGCGCGAGAGGAACCACCCTGCAACTTGAAAGCGCTGTGTAAGTCTTTGAGCAGATGCCGACGGATCGAAAGCGTCGAACGCTTCCTCTCGCGGACGCCAGCGCTAGCGCCTGGGCGAGGTCGGCGACGGCGCGGGAACCGCGGCGCCGTTCAGGACGGCGGCGGGGAGCCGCTCGCCCAGCGGGCGGCCGCAGTCGACGCAGGCGCCTGCACGCTGCAGCTTGGCGATCATCTGGGCTTGCTTGGCACAGCGGCGGAAGCTGTTGTCGGGGCCCGAGCGCGCAGGGCGGCCCAATCATGCTCGCGCGGAGAGATCCCGGCGGGAGCGCCCACAGGCGCGCGGACAACGTCGGGGCCCACCGTTCGAGGCTCAGGATCGTCAGAGCCAGGAACATCTAGGCGTCGAGACCGACGGTGAAGTCACGGAGGCCCGTCCTTCCCAAGTGCCCCAGCTCGTTCGGGCGGAGGACCAACGCGGCGACGCCCGAGGCCCCGGCGGCCCCCCAACCGGGGGGGGCGACTGGCATCGCCGTCAGCAGGTCGCGCTCGGACGATCGGAGGTAGCCAGCGACGCCGAGGATCATTGCGATGGTCTGCTCGAACTGCCATTGCGTCGGCCTGACACCCGGCATGGCCGCAACCGCCAGCCAGGGGATCGGCATCCGCATGCGCTGCGGGGCGCGCTTGCCCCAGCCCGCGAGGCTGCTCGACGCCCAGAAGAGCGCAAGGTCGCCCCAGCGGCAGATGGGCGGCAGGAAGGACTTGAGGGCCCCGAGGAGCGGCGACGCGTCGTCCTCGCTGTAGCCGTGGAAGTGCAGGTAGTCGACGCAGGCGACGACGGCCACGTCCAGCTGGGCCCAGCTGCTCCAATCCAGGAGGAGTTCCGAGCAGCACATCACGAAGCTGTCGACCCTCCGCCGGTAGTCTAGGAGCGTGCCCACGCCGACCGACTCGGCTCGAGGTAGGTAATGCCCAGCTGCAGACCCCCCTTCAGCACCACGCGCGGGCCGGCGGCCGCCGCCGCAGGCTGCGGCGCCCTGAGGGCGCCAGTGCCATCGTGCAGGAGGACGGCCAGGCGCGGGCGGCCCCTCGGCATCAGCGGCTTCGCCGGGCGCCCCCTCTTGCCGGCTGCAGGGCCTGGTGGGGGAGGCGATCGCCGAGGCCGGCAGCCACGTCAGGGCCCGCGCGCTCGGTGCACGGCAGCCCGCGCGATGGGCCGTTGGACGAGCTCGCGCCGGGGACCCGCCCGGCATTGGCGCGCAACCTGCAGGCGAGCGAGAGGGCACAGATCTCCCGATGGTCCTTCGGGAGGACGCTGCGCTGGGCGGAGCGACCGCGGCCTACGCCAATCGCGAGCGGGCAGACGACCCGCCAGCCGAAGGGGTCGGACACGCGAAGCTGGCGCAGGAGCGCGGAGCCCAGCGCAAGGCCCTCGGCGCGGCAAATGTCGCAGGCCTCGCGCCACGGTGGCGAGTGCGCGACGGCCCATCCATGGCCGACCAGCAGGTTCGGGTCGACCTCAGGGGGGCCCGCCCCAGTCCTTGGCGACCTCGGACGGCAGCCGGGCAGGGTCGCGGAGCACGGGGACGGCGCCCGCTGGCCCAAGCGCGCGCTCTCGCGCGGGCCGAGCCCCCGAAGAGGCAGCGCCACCTCTCGGCCGTTCGGCCCACGTCGGCGACGGCATCGGGCGAGCAGCGAAGGCGGCAGACTCCGTGGACCCAGCTAGAGGCGTCGCTGGCCGCGACCTCGGGGCGCCACTCCGCGTCCGCGAAGCAGGCGAACATCGGGGGCGGCGAGCGCACGTGCCAGAGCCCGCGGCGGACCGACGGCCAGAGCGGCAGGGCCTTGTCCTTCGCCGCCTGAATGAACGGGTCGACGGCGTCGGAGATGGCCAGCGAGCACCTCTCGAGCAGCATGGCCCATGCGCAGTGCCCCAAGATGATCTGGAGCGCGCCCCTGTCGGGCGCCGCAGGAGCTCCTCGATGGCGCGGCAGAGCCACCAGGCGCGGCGGGCCGAGACCCGCGCGGAGCGCTCGTGCCCGTAGAGGATTAGGCCGACGAAGCTGGCCAAGCGAGCGGCGCTGACCTGCTCGCGCACGACGAAGCCCTAAAGGAGAGCTCGCGCCCGACCTTCTGCGCAACGGCCTGCATCTTAGCGCGCCGGCAGCCAGCCAACAGGAGTTGCCCACGCAGGCAGCCCCGGCGGCGAGCAACTGCGGCCCAAGCCCGACGCCCGAACTGCGGTCGCGGACCTGCTGCTCGGGCGCCGCGCGGGCAGAGGTGGAGGGCCCACGACCAGCCCACGGGCGAGATGGCGCGCTCTGGCAGCAGCAGCTCCGACTTGCGCACAGGGGCGCCATCGTGGGCCTTCTCGTCCTGCAGCCACAAACGGCCAGCCTCCAGCTGGGCGGACTCATCCGCGACGGGCGCTGAGCCGCCAGGAGGCCAGGACACGAGGTCACAGCGGGCAACTGGGGCAGTGTCGGACAGGGCGATGCGCGGGGTGATGTCGGCTGGCGATCGGCGAACTCGACATGCTCATCAGTGGCGTAGTCGAGGGGCTGCCGCTGCAAAACTGAAGCTCGATGGCGCACGGGCGGCGAGCCGCCCCCGCCCAACTAGCCGAGCGCGTCGACCCCGTCGCCAGCCCAGGCAATCCGAGCAGCAGAGGCGCACTGACCATGCCCAGGCAGGGGCCCGTCAGGTAGGAGAGGAAGAAGGGTGCAAAACAAATCGCCGACGACTGCTGACCATGGCGTGGGGGCCACGACAGCAGGAGCGATGGACCTGAAGGGCGCCGACGGGAGAGGCCACGGCCCCGTCAGCAACTGAGAGGGTAGGCGCAGGAGGGCTAGGCTTTGGCCTCGCCACCGCCTCCGCCACGTCTGCCACCACCGCCGCTGCCACCGGAGGCGGGCGGGTGGAGCAGCTGCCGCTCCTCTCGAGCACTGCGACGCTCCTTCGCGATGGCCGATTCGACGGCGAGCTGCTTGGCGAACCACTCGGTAGGGGAGGGGCGACCATGACCCTACGCGTAGACTGCATCCCTGTGAAAAAGAACTGCTCGTCGCCCCCCGACGTAGAGGCGTGAGTGCAGACCAGCTTGACCTTGTAGCGCTCCTCGCGGGCCCGCAGCTGCCCCGTGACCAGCACGAGCGCAGACAGGTTGGAGCCATCGACTTGGTCATACGACTGAACCACCTGCATAATCTTGGCGAAATGGTAGGGCGTGCTGACGATGGGGTCGTCGACTGGCATCGCGGCGCCCAGAGCCGCCATCCAACCAAGGCGGCGCCCGAGCAGCGAACCTCCGTTCTTGGCCTGGCAGGTGGCGACCCAATGGTACGTCGCGGGGCCTGGGCCAGGCCGGTCGGGGACGCAGGTAGGCCACCTGAGCTGCACGCTGTCCCGAAACTCGCGATGGCGCTGGCCCAGGCTGTCGCGGGCGGTCGCGAGGGTGCGGAGGTCGCCGCCGCCGCCGCCGCCGGCGGCTGCAGGGCCCGCGGCCGCCCCGCCGGCGGGCCCGGCAGCGGCGGGCAAAGCGGGCGCCACAGCCTCAGGCACGCCCACCAGCTCAGCGCGGGCGGCCAGGGCACGGGGCCCGGCACCAGCGGCGGGGGCGGCGGTGGGCACTGCAAAGGCAGCGCCTCCGGCGGCGGCCACGGCCATCGCGGCCGGCGCGCCAGCGGCGAAGCCGCCTCCGAAGGGCCACCCTGCACCTAGGGCTGCGGCGACGATGGCAACACTGGGCGCGGCGCCAGGGCCGGGGCCGCAGCCCGCGCCGACGCCGAGAGGGCCCAGAGCGCGACCATGGGCAGCAAGTCTGCCCGCAGCGAGAAAGCACGCCCCAGCGACCTGAGCAGCGGTCGGCGCAGCAGCGAAGTCGTAGCACTGGACGCCAGCAGGGCAGACGGCGGCCCCGAGCGGGGCACCTGCAGCCCAATGCATCCACGAGTTCTTGATGTCGTCGTTTCTGGCGTCGCACCCTGGGAGGTGCACGTCGAAGTCCGTCGTGAAGACACTGAAATGCTCGGGGTGGGCAATTGAGACGCCGACGACGGCGACCCGCATGTGCGCCAGGCGCGGTGGCGGCTCGCCGTACTCAGTCGAGATCTCATCGCAGACGCTGAACATGAGAAACGGCCGCGGCCGCCACCCCGCCAGGACGCCTCTCGGCGAGGTAAGAGCCGCACGGCGGGCTCATCGTCCGACGGGGCGGCCGCCGTGGCGCGACGGCAGGGGCAGAGGCGGGCAGCGCCGACGCCCAGCCCAGGGCCCAGCGGGCCAGCTCCGCGGCCAGCAGCGGCAGGCCGCCGAAGCCCGCCTCCCATGCCAGGGAGGTCGTGCCCTTGCCCTCGCACGCGGGGCAAGGCGGCGCAGGCCGGGCAAAGCGGGGGCCACGGAGCCGCCGGCGCCAGCAGCAACCAGCGCGCCAGGAACAGGATGATTGTGTTGCTCACAAGCGAGAGGCCGATGCCGGGTCGAGCGAGGTGCATCGACCGGCGGAGGGCTCCCCCTCCAGAAGAGAAACTCGAGCCGACGCGGTCGCGGGGCAAATGTGACGGCCTTCGCTGCTCTAGAGATGATTCGTATACGCACAGCCATCATCACCAGCATCACCACCACCACCACCATCATCATCCTCCTCCTCCTCCTCATCCTCCTCATCAGCATCATCAGCATCATCATCAACAAAATCAACATCAATATCAACATCATCATCATCATCATCATCATCATCATCATCATCATCATCATCATCATCATCATCATCATCATCATCATCATCATCATCATCATCATCAGCAGCATCTCAGCATCATCATCATCAGCATCATCCTCATCCTCATCCTCATCCTCATCCTCATCCTCATCCTCATCATCATCATCATCATCATCATCATCATCATCATCATCATCATCATCATCATCATCATCATCATCATCATTTTCGTCCCTGTTCTCCGCCTCCTCCTCCTCCTCTCCCTCCTCCTCCTCATCCTCATCCTTATCCTCATCCTTTTCCCCCTCCTCGTGATCCACCACATCTTTCATCCTCCATTGTCCGTCCTTCCTTTACTCCTACTGAGTAATCCTCCATCCATCCTGCCTCTTTGCCCCTCCCCCCTCCTTGTGTTTCTCTTCTCACTTATCCTCCTGAATCCTCTTCAGCTCCATCCCCCTCATTCTCCTCCTACACCATCCCTCATCTCCCGTCTCGAACCTCAGTCGTGCTTCCTCCTTCACCCATCCGTCTCTTTCCTTTTCTCCTCCTTCGTCCTCTGCCCTCACCCCTACCCACCCATTATCTTCATTATCCCGCCCCCGTGGCCTACATCTGAGGTCGCCTCTAGGTGCGCGGTGTAACACATGTGACCACCGATCGCACGCGAGTCGCGCGACACAGGCACCTCGGAGTGGAGGGCAGCCTGTGTGCAAGAGCCACGCCTCCTGACCCCAGCTACCCAAGAACGCCTTCTCGCCGCCGCGCGCCCCCTCCCCGCCATGCAGAGCCCCCGTGGCTCCTGCGCTGTACGAATGTGCCCCTCGAAGCCCTCACCTGTGCTTCGACGCGTTCCGTCGCCAAAGATCGTCGAGGACCAGGGAGGGAGAGGAGAGAGGAGGGAGGAGGGAGGAGGGAGGAGGGAGGAGGAGGAGGAGGAGGCGGAGGGAGAAGAGAAGGCAGGAGGAGGGAGAAGGAAGACGAGAGGGAAGAGGAAGGTTTGCACGGCCATGGTACCTCCCCATGCCAGAGGGAACCAGGAGGGAACCGTGGAGGAGGAGGGAATCTCTCGAGGTGGGCAGGGACCAAGCGAGAGGAGGGAGCCTCCTGTCCCCCCTCTGGGCGCGAATCCTCCACCACCAGGCAGTTCGCGTACGGGTGAAGCACAGCTCCATGACGGGGACCTGGCGGTTGTTCCACGATCACCTTCGCGCCACCCCATATCCACCACCTCGCCCTTCTGCTTCGAGTTACACTCCTCGACGTCCTACCTCTCGTTCCTCCTCCCTCTTCACCATCATCTGGCAGCCTGGCAGCACAGAGTATACTTAAGGACATGGGCCGCTTCAGCGCGGCCTGCATAGAAGCAGTCACACTGCACGAGTGATGCAAATGATGGGAGTGTGGCGATGATGACTACGACTGTTGCGAGGCAAGGGACAGCCACTGTAACTGTGAGCACATGAACGCCTGTGGAAAGACAACAACACTCCTCGAAACAATAAGAGTATCCGAAATGAGGAACCCGCCTCACCAGACAATAACCAAAACATCTCCACCAAATACGCCCCACCCACCCACCCTCGCGGAGCCACCAAGCTGCGTGGCTTAAGATTGCTGCTCCCTGCGCGCCAGTTCCAGTTTCCAGTTTCCAGTATGATGGTTATACTGCCTGCTTCCCACTGTAAACTGTTGAAGTCCGCGCGAGGGGGGAGCCCCAAACCAGCCTACACCACGCCTTCCCGAGGGTCACAAAATTTCTTTGGGGGTCGTGGGGCACATAACAATACGTGAGATTCGCGCTCTCGGGTCAATCAACCCTCGCAAAGTACTCGGTATTCGCGTGCCCTATGCGACAAACCACGCAAAGTACACCACATTCGCATCCCCGAGGCCATAAACCATCGTAAAGTACGCCGCATATGCGTCCCCGAGGCTATAAGCCCGCGTAAAGTATGCCATAGTCGCGTCCCCGCGGCCCCGATCCCGTATAAGTTACTCGATGCTTGAAACCAGAATCCCCTAACAACTATACAACATTCGCACCCTCATCTGCGTCATCGAGGCCAGGATCCCACGAAAATTCTACAATACTCGCGTATCCGAGGCCACGGCCCTTTCTGCAAATTATGCAAAAGTCATGTCCCCGAGGCGACGATCCCCCGTAAAGTATACAAGATTCGCGTACCCGAAGCCACGATACCTCATAAATTACACCATCTGCGCTTCCTCGAAGCCACAAGCCATTTGGAAATGACGTCATGTTCGCGTCCCCAAAACCATAATCCCTTGCAGATGTCACCAGGCTCGCGTCCCCGAGGCAATGCTCCCTTGAAAATTACGCGATAGCTGCGTCCTTGAAGCCATGACCCCACACAAGTATACAGGATTCACGTCCCCGAGGCCACGATCCCCTGTGAAGTACACAATGTCTGCGTCGTCGAGTCCATCCCTCGTAAACTACGCAGTCGTCGCGACCTCGAGGCAATTGAGACTGGTAAATACCCGATTTGCATTATACGATGATTGTGTCACCGAGGCCGCGGTCCCCCGAAAAAATCGCAATGCTCACGCTCCTGCATGCCACGCCTTTTATCACCATCAACATCCTCATCATCCTCATTATCATTATCTTCATCCTCATCCTCATCCTCATCCTCCTCATCATCATCCTCATCATCCTCATCCTCATCCTCCTCATCATCATCCTCATCATCATCATCATCCTCATCATTATCATCATCATCATAATCATCATCATCATCATCATCATCATCATCATCATCATCATCATCAGCATCACTATCATCACCAACACCAGCGCCTACAGCAGCATCATGAGCAATATCTCCATCACCATCGGCGTCAACATCAGCATCATCAGCATCACCATCGGCGTCAGCATCACAATGTCTTCAAAACGGCGCCAAAACATCCTGATGTGGCTCTTATGTATCCCATTATGATAGAAAGGGGGCCGGCGGCAGGCGGCGAAGCCCTTACTGATAATCCGTATACTAACCCCAGGAGGAATATTATCACCTCCCCCGCCCAAAACAATAATCGACCTCGGAACAACAACATGATCTGCGAATGCTGCGTCAAGCGCATTCGCCTCAGAGGAAGAAACACTCGCATTCTCCACGCCACTGGCCTCCTTGGGGGCGCAAGGCTGTGAAAGGTCCTGATGGACCGCCGTTTTGCGTAATTTGCCATGTTTTGTGTTGTCTCTAGTCTGTCCACTCGGGTCTCCACGGTGCTGCCTGCTACGGGGGCCCACGTTGCCCAAAGAACGCCTAAGGGGTGTCCCTCGGTACTGGCCGCCCTAAGTTTCTCTATGCTTCCGGCGGGGACGCCGCCAGCTAAGAGGCTCCCACGACGGCCACAAGAGGCCTCAAAGAGAGCCTCAACAGCCCACGACGGCCGAAGATGGCGCAAAGATGCTTCTAAGGCGGCCCTGGCGGGACCCGAGACGCTCCAGAGCGAGCAGAACAAGACTAAAAAGACTTACAGTGCAGGCCCATGCCAAAAAACACCCTGCTGGCCTCCAGGGTGCCCTGGGTTTCATGGGTTTCGATGGTTTGCTGTGGAAAGCGCCACGTTCCCACACCAAAAATCGATGGACGTCCTGGGGTCTCAGGGTTGGGTTTCTTGTGGAAGGTCTCGGGGTTGCTGGAACTTTTGGGAAAGGGCGGCCCGCCAGAGCTACACACCGCAGCCGCCAGGCCACAGGAGCCTGGGTGTCCTGAGTATCCCGAATATCCCGCCAGCCTGCCAGACATCAGGGACAGACACCAGGAACGCCATCCACCGACACCCCAGACACCAGGCCGCACGGCGTCACGCCATCCACCAACACCTAGAACAGACATCAAAGACAGGCACCAAGGACAGACACCAAAAACAGACAACCAGAACACACCTCAACAACAGACATCTAGAACATACATTCTCATACAAAGCACAAACACCAAAAACAGACATCCGAAAAACATAACACATCAATAATATACACCAAGACCAAGCATCGAGACCACACATCGAGAAACTGCACTAAGGACAGAAACCAACAACAGACAACAAGAGCACACGCCTAGGAGAGGCATAGACCATAGACAACAAAAACAAGCATTAGACACTTTTGTTACTGGAATGCATCCAAACCAGACATCTAGATCAGGCATGCCACCTCCATAGCACAACAAGAACAAGGACGATGGGTACGTACTCATAGCAGGTTTTTCTTGGAGGAGAGGAGATGGGGAGCGCGCGACCACTCGATCTCACTACGGCGTGACTGGCACAGTCACGTGAAGCAGAAGATCGCCAGGCAAACTAGGATCGCTGTTCAGGCCGACCTGTCATAGACAACGTATACGATAAACTGCAGCCTTGGGGGACAAGAAATGACGATGCGAGCGTGGACCGACGCACCTGATGTCATCCGATCCGGGGACAACAGACATGCATCGACCGCATGCAATGATCACGCGCGCGGTCGATATAGCTCGGCGCGCGACGCTTCAGACACACGTGTGCTCCTCTTCGGCCCGCTCAAAGCAGCTCCCGCCGGCCCGTCGCCTCAGCACCGCGCGGCTCCCAGTGTCTCCTCCGACCGCCCTTCAGTCGGGCCCACTTGGCTTCCAAGACGCCCCCCGGCCCGCCCAAGATGACCAGGGCAGGCCAGGATTTGGCGGCGGACGAGGGGGGGGAAGTGAGAAGGAGAAGGCCTTCTCAGAGGGTTCGGAAGTCCCCCAGCCTTCTGAGAAGTTTTCCAAGCCTTCCCCGAAGACAGAGAGAAAACTGGCAGCCGAAGGATGGCACCCAAAACGCAAGACGGAAACGACGTCTCCAAGACGCCGCCAAGACGGCCCACAGCCCGAGAGGCACCCCAGGCGCCCCAAGAGGCATCCGGGAGGGGCAGCTCGACGACCGGCAGGGCGGGCGGCGCCGAGCTGCGGGCGGCCTCCTGGGACAACGGGATCGGGTGGGCCATGCTCTCGCGGTGGAGGAAGAGGAGGAGGAGGAGGAGGAGGAGGAGGAGCAGGAGCAGGAGCAGGGGGTCGGGTGGGCCTTGCTCTCCTGGTGGGCCAACCTGTAGGGGTGAAAACAAGTAGCAATTCACTCGGAAGCCCTAGGCACACATAGATAAGTTGCAGCAGCAACGCTTTGAGCGAGCGATCCCTGCCCCCATGGCAGCCCCATTTGCAGCCCTTGTCTGGGCTGCGCATACTGCGCTCCGTGATCCACCCCCCTCCCCACGTCTTCGTGCAAGCGCTTCGCCGGAAGGGGGGGGCGCGATGCAAGACCGAGACGGCGGCCGACCAGTCCATCGTCTCCGCATCGGCCGAGGAGGCCCCCAAGGAGCGGCAAAGTCGGGTGGCGAGCCGGCACTGCACGCGAGGGGGGAAGGGGCAGAGGTGCGAGAAGGGCGGCTACCAGCACGGCCTGCGGGCACAGACGGTCCAGTCCTGGCGGCCTCGCACGACGGGAAATTTGAGCAGGAGGACAACCAGGAAGAGGAGGAGAAAAAAAAAGGAGGAGAAGGAGGAGGACGAGGACGAGGTCAAACAACAGCAGCAAAAAGTTGAAGTGGAAATAGCGAGAGGAGCAGGAGGGGAAAGAAAGGAGAGGCGGAGGAGGGGGACGGAGGAAGGCTACATCGACGCGGAAGTCGGATGCAAAGAAGCGGCCCGCGCTGGGGCGAGAGCGCCATTCTGAACGACGAAGTCAAAGCGCTGATCCGAAAACGATGCCCACGCCGCAGCGGGAGCATCATTTCGAAACACCGAAAACAATCGAATCGGAAACAACCATAACAAAACTGTCGTCCATACCCCTCTCACTATATCTATATATATATATATATACACACACACCCGCGAAGAGGGCGGGGCATTTTCTGAACATGGTCAAAGAAGAGAAGAGGGTAGTATTCAGAATGTGTAGCTGTGGAACAAAAGGGGGTAGGCTGGGGAGAAGAACGCAGAGGAGAATGACCATGGCTCCGGTGAGCGGACGGCACGCGCGAGAGACGGAGGCGTGGTGTAGGCGGGAGGGGTGCTCCCAGGAAGAGCGACCGGCCGAGGCCCACGCGAGAGCGACACTCAGACTTCTAAGAGCTGGGCAAAAGGAGTGGTGAGAGGATTGCGTTTTCAAAAAAAGCTTTCGCAAGACATGCCAGGCGCGCCGAGGAGGTGAGAGGGCGAGTCCTGCCAAGCCTCGATGGCACGCATCGCAACGACCCTCGTTGAGCATATTCTGCGCTGCGCGCGCAGCACAAGCGAGCGCAATAGCAATAGCAACAGCGGCAGCATTATTGGCGACGCCGATGGCCAGCGGGACTGCCAGCCTTGGTGGCGCCGAACTCTGGCCTGGACGCGACGTAGTTCAGGAAGTGAGATGCCTCTTGCGCTCGCCCAAGGACAGACATGTTGCTACAAATAGTACCAGTACGACCCGTATTACTGCAATTACGACTGCCACGCGCATTCCCACATATGATACCACCACCACCACTCCTACTACTACTACTACTACTACTACTACTACTACTACTACTACTACTACTACTCCTGCTGCTGCTTCTACTATTACTACTGGCACCATTTCTACAACTACTACTACTACTACTACTACTACTACTACTACGACTACTACTACTACTACTACTACTACTACTACTACTACTATTACTACTACTACTACTACGACAACTGCTGCTACGACTACGACTACGACTACGACTACTACTACTACTACTACTACTACTACTACTACTACTACTACTACTACTACGGCTACTACGGCTACTATTACTAATACTACTTCGACAACTACTACCACTACGACTACGACTACTACTACTACTACTACTACTACTACT